AAACACATTTATAGCAAATTCATATTATTATTTTTCATCCTTTAAAGGTTTTGGTTAAGAAAAATAAAAAGATTTAAAACAGTGACTGGTCCCTTCCTAAAATTCTGGAACTCACTGTAACTGYCRCATATATCTTTTTTACATCCCCCCCTTTCAAATACAGAAACGGAAAGGATTTTGAGGATGACTTGGAGTTCTTACTCAAGGGGGTTCCAGAGTTCGACCTCCAACAGGAGGTAATACTTTCTGAGGTTCTGGTCCATGGCCCTCTGGCCTTTCCCATTGGGACCACAGAGCATGGACAGCCATTCCTGGCAGGAGCCTACTATGGACAGGGACGGGTCATTGTGATTTCTCATGAAGGAATTCTTGCACGAGAGGTAAAGTCTACATTAATGATTCGACTAAGTATTTCTGCCTTTTTAAGTTGAAATGAGCATTTAAGTGCAGGTATAAAATTACCATGTGTACATAGTATGATCTATTTGAGACAGTAGATATAATTATTTTCCATTTATATCTTGTTAAATGTTTCTKGTCACCAGCAGTTTATTGTTTAGAATGCTTATCATTGTTGATTAACTACATTTCTGTTTTGAAAACTTTTTTCTCATTACAGCCAATGACTCAGTTTTGGAGTAATGCGCTTCACTGGTTGGATGAAGGCCGGAATGGAGTCATTGGTGTATTGCCTGATCACGCCCTTGGAATCCTCAACAAGTCAGGGCTARAGTGTGWGAAGACAGACTTCAGGAAAKACCTGAGTGTATTTGTGTGCACAGCATACCGCGGTGATCACATTGAGGAAATCCAGGACTTTGTGGCAGAGGGAGGAGGCCTTCTGATTGGTGGACATGCCTGGTACTGGGCACAGACACACTGTGGACAAAACCCATTAACCGATTTTGTTGGTATGATAATGCACCACCTGCAAAGTTCATGATAACATAACATAATGCATCCTAACATCCTTCTGCTGTCTAAATTCACATGTTAATGTATCAGGTATAAACTCATATCAGGCACAATTTAAAATATCCCCACACAATGAATTCCTCATAGCGAGAGACACAATTGCAAAATACACACACACACACACTCAGGGATGTTCAGGAAACTGAGTATTTGCTGTCTTTAACAGCAGATGATCAGAGGGCTGATGGACTGGCTTATAAAAATGGGAAAGTTCCTCAAAGAGATGAAGGGAGAATACATTTAAGGAGAAGCCAAAGTGCTGAGCAGCGGAGAACTGGAAAGTKGTAGACCTTAACAACTAGATGGTGCTGGCCATATATGATATGACTTTCTTGTGTCAAGAGCATACAGTCTATGGTCCAGAGGTTTCTTGTTTATGTAAACTCTGAAGATGAAAAGCCAATTGCCTGCAGCAAAAAATAAATGAAGAAACTGGTGTAATAATTGTTCATGAAGGCTGGGAAGAGGGAAATAAAAGTGTGTGGGCCCATACAACAATGTTGGGGGTTTTAATAGTGTTGGTTAGGGCTACCCAATGGAAAAACAGCCCCTGAACTTGTTAATAGGCTACTACTTGATATTTGGGCTTCAAATATCCATATCAAGTCAGAAGATGTCAAGTCATTGTTCCAATGTATTTCAGGGAACAAGATCCTGACCAAAATGGGTTTGAGCCTGCTGGGAGCAACAGTCGGAGGGACTGTATACAAGGCCCCTGTACCCAGCCAGGCTATCAAAGACACCTACAACTTCCTCCACCTTCTGCACCGCTTTGCTGGACATGTAAACAAAGGCGAACAACTTACRAAGCATGAAGAGGAACTTCTGAAAAAGCTGGGCTCAGACTGTTCCACCTACCTGACCATGAAGGCTCATGACTGCTCCTTCTATGCACAGGTTCTGTCTGCCCTCACTGATATTGTAGTGAGGTCCGGCATGCCACAGGTGAGTAGACAAAATTGACTCTATACATCATTATGAAACTTAAAATGTTCCAACAGAGCAGCACAAAGCTCTTTCATCAGAGCAATATACTATAGATCTGATATGATGTATATGACAATGAATCCTCAGCTAGAGATCAGCATGATGTGTGATTCGTCTTCTTTCAAGGTGTGTGACAGCTGTCCTGTAAGGAGTTCCAAAGACCACCTGCTCCTCAGTGTGGGCACAGAGATATATAAGGTTTGCCCRAATCCAGATGCTCTCCTGCCATTCCTCATTAAGGATAACCCTATGATGCCAGTTATCTATAACCACAGGATCCAGATCAGTGTTAATACATCAGGTGAGACCAAATATATGAAGATGTTATGAGATCAACTTGTATACAGTATATGCACTATTGCACATACCTTGAAGTTAGTTAAT